GAGGAGCGGCATCCTGGAGGAGTCGCAACCCCGGTCCGGTTTCGAGCCAAGGTCCGGTCGCGGCTCCTTCGCGCTCGATCACGCCCGGTTCCGTCGCGTCGGGTTCGGGCAGCACGGAGCCGACGGTCACAGTTTCCGCAGGTCCGGTCTCCATCACCGGGGGATGGGCGGGATGCGAGTGCAGGGAGACGGCGGGCAGTTCGGCGCCGGCTCGGAAAGTGGGCTGGGAGCAGCTGCGGGGCTCGACCGGGCTCAGCTCGCTAGGTGCCTTCGCACTTGGCAAAAACTCCGCAATCAAGTTTCCGCCGTCGCGTCCGGGCTCCGTCGCCCCGTGACATGTCGGGGACGCCTCGGAGTCACTTTCCCCGGGGTGCCCGGTTCCGGCGTGCCCCGGTAAAGTCGTGCGGGCTTTTCCCGCGGCTTCTGAGTCCGGCCTGTCCCGCTTCTCACTACGAGCCGGGCATTCCCGAGCTGCATCCCCATCCTCGGCGAGGGCCGCGGCGCCCGTCACTGACGTGCACTCTTCTGCACGCCCGGCTTCGGCCTCGATGCTCTGCGCAGCTGGCTCCGGTTCGAGCTCCGATCCGTCCCCCACTGCTGATGGTGCCCCAGCAGCTCTTGGCTCCGCAGCCACGGCCGCCATTTTCTTTACGGTTTGCAACACTAGCGCAGCTTAGCCTCCTCTTGCTGATAAGACAAAGGTCCGCCCCCCACATGCCATGGACACTTGGTATTGGATAAGAAATCAGAAGCTCTCTGTTGTGTGGTTCAACTTCCTGTCAATTAACCAGATGCCTTGTAAAAGCCCTTCTAATTGGCTAAATTTGTTGTCAATTAACTTCAACGTTGTTTCTTCTGTAGAGGGCGCCACTAAGATCTTGCTTGTATTACCTATACGAATAACAGAAACTTTTCACCTGTAGTAATAATGTGACATGTTAAATTTTTTGGGGATCACAGTACATTTAGCGTTATTCATTGTTTTTTCCTCATTTACAGCTGATAATTAAGTTGCTAATTTAGTCTGACTGGTCAACAATATGCCAGATATAACGAGGAATCACTGATTTGGTGTGGTTTGATTATGTACACATTATTTCAGTAAATGCTCTCAATATATCAAATTGCATCTGTTGCTTTGTTGAGATTAGCGTCAGCATTAGTGTGATTTCAGCTGACGGGATGAATCAGCCGATGTTGACAGCGCTCTGTGCACTGCTGTGAAGTTGTGGTCTAAAATATTGCAAATGTTCTTTAAACTAGCTCTGAGTTTATTTTGCTGGAAAATCATTGACTGTGCGTGTTCAGGGATACATGTATTGTTCTGAGGGATGTAATTTCAATGAAAAAAGGATTGACAGATTTTTCGTATTAATTAAGAGCCCAATAATTATTGTTGGATTGCGAGGAAAGATGCTTAAACATTTGTCTTCCTTTTATTCACAGTTATCACAGTAATACATATAACCAATGTCGTTTTTTTAAAGATATGGTGTAGGAAAAGCTTCCAGACTGCCGGACACCCCTGACTGAAATTATTCACACCTTAAAATATATCTATCCGTATTCCTCCATTGTATACAGAATGTATTCACTGATGAGACTTCTAAGCACTTATGTAAGTCGCTCTGGTTAAGGGCGTCTGCCAAATGCCGTAAATGTAAGTGTATAAGTGCAATTTAACACGTAGAGTTGTAATACATTGAGAAAGCCTCTGAACTAGTGGGACTGGGCAAACTCTATTGGCGAGCAATAATAAAGTAAACCATACGGTGGCGCTGTGTGCCCAATTATCGTTTAAGGACGACAAAACAGTGTGTATTGGTTACATTATTTTGTTATAGCAACTTCCGCTGAGACTTCCATGTTATTACACAAAGTGACTACTAATATCTATCAAAAAGTTACGCTTTCTACAACATATATTCACACAAAAGTTATATGAATAGTATTACTGTATATACTATCTTGCTTATAGGCTAGTTAATTATTTCAAGTCCTTCCTAATACAGACTTTGCTTAAGTCTGCCACTCGTTTAGCATTTTTGAGAATAAAGTAGCCCTACATTTTGTTAGCCCAAGCTGAATACGTGAGAGAATTGGGGGGGGGTGTCCCAATTAGCAAGATATTCCCCTCCTTCCTAAAAATGGAAGCGTCTCTGGTGACGCAAACCCCCACCTTTATAAACAATGACAGTGAGAACAGCACCCACCTTCACAGCATGAGCTGTGACTGTGCCTCCATTCCAGCACCCCCACCTCCCCCAGGTAAAAAACAACCACCAAGGGGCATCCGCTCTCTCTCCTGCCCTGCTTAATTTTACCGTAGATCACTGGTCCTAACCAAGGGCATCGTTAGGCCTAAAATGTTTTTAGCTCCCCCCCGCCCCCAACCAAATAAATGTAATTTATTGGCTTAAGTCATGAAAAGCTTTTTATAAGTTTGCCATCACCCCCCCCCCATTCATCTCTAACTTTGCCTCTGCTCCCGACATCATACACTCCTTTGAATTCAGAAATCATGACAAGTATGGATAATTACTGAGGATTAACCAGCCATCAGAATTAACTTTAGGGGGAAAAAACTACTGCTTGAACACTTCCCATATCAAATACTCAAAGAGAGAAATATCCAAATTTCCACTAAGGAACAGGGTAATCCTAAAACTCAGACAAAGAGGATTTAAGCCCTGATTTTAGGGGCAGCTAAATAATTGGAGACAGAATAATGGATCTCATACTGAGAAAAAAGGTTTTAAAATCCCCACAATGAGAAAATGTCATCTGCAGTTTGAGTGAGCATGTTCTCTGTACACTGATTTTCAATAAAAAGTCAAATGAAACTCCTTAGGATAACATTAATGAAGTTCTCTCTTGGATTTCACCAATAAATGGTGTTTGGAATGAATTGGTAACTGAGCTGTTTAATTTCTTCTTCATATACAGAGACAACAGTGACACTGAAGGTAAATATTTGTGAGGTAAATATTTGTGCCAAGTGGACCTGGGAGAAGACTAACATGAAAATGTGACACCTGAACCCGAAACAGCAGAGTGTGTAAGGAGACAGTGCTATTCTTGGTAATCTGATGTTTTTTTAAATGTTCACTTAAACTAATCTTAGATCTTTCTTCTATAACCATCCACTCGTCAGAGTTAAATACTGGACTTCAAAGCAGCATTTGATCAAACAGATGCCTCTTAAATGTTTCTGCAGCATTTCCAGAGTATTTGTAGTTAATGATCACGGTGCATTTTCACAACAATAAAGGACAAAACAACTTTTTTCCCACTGCTATCTATAAAAAAAATTTACTTACAGTTTACAAAAATCAGTCAAAAGTTGATGCAACAGGAATTTATATGAAAATGTTCAGCTCTCCAAACTGTCTAAAATAACATATTGCACCCTAAGACTTCTTAGCAGAAATCCGTATTTCAGTCAATCACCACAGTGTCAGTTCAACACAGTACAACAGACAGGAAACTCAGCTAAAAACATACAGAGATAATATAAAACAAGCTTAAAATAAACCTGGAACAGAGCTCTAATAAAATACTGCGAATTATAAATACACTTGGTCTAAAAAAAAAAAATGGGTAAAATTCAAATAAACACACAAGTGGTAGAACAAAGGTGAAAACATTGAGGTAGTTCAAAGTATATTCAGTGTTCACACATCAACTGTCTTCTGGCCCAGACTGCGAAGTGAGTTGTGGTTCATTTTAGGAGTCATTTTAGGAATTTTTGTGCGCTGTTTGAACCGTCCCCGGAAAATGCTGCTCCCAGTATTCAAATAATTCACGTTACACTTTCTCAGAGACAAATTCCGGAAAACGTCTTTAGTATTACCGATAATAATAATCGGGGGGGAAAAAAAACCGCAAGACACGTACCAAGGTGTTCAGCACTCTGGTATTCACATCAGCAGACGTCGGACTTCAAACTGCTCCAGTAGCCACGAGTAAAAAAACTTTCACGTGATGCCATGCAGCTGAGCGCTGACAACCACCCCCCCACAAAACTGACAAAGTTAAACTTACATCTCTTAAGGCTCCCCACAGAGAGAGACAGACAAATCTCGGGTTTTGGCAGTGGGAGTGGCCGTAACATTCACTTTGTCCTTAAAAGCTCTGTAAACTACAGGTACCTCTTAAAATATACCCCCCCCCCCCAATTCTGGAACAGGTGTGCCTACACAGCAAACCTACTGGGGGTTTAACAGAAGATTCAACAAGGTCCTACAGCTCACAGATCAGACTGAATGTAGATTAAAAAAAAAAAAAAAAACACAGTTAACATAAGTAGGGAAAAAATATCCAATAAAAAGCGACCAAAAACTACGGAGGTAAACATCAATGGCGTCGTTTTCAAGTAGTCAGATCGGTCCCTGAAACATCCTGTAAACAGCACTACATGAAATCAAGTGTCACAGTCATTACAGACAGCTTATATACTGTAAGGCAGCAGCACTGAAAAATTTACAATGCATTAAAACTCGTTTCCACAGATTAAGGCAATTCTGTTGCATTTGGTTGGTCTTAGAAAGTAATGGAAAAAAGCGCCAAAATTCTTCCACAGCCCCAAAGATCGAAATGTCTTCATGACGCCGGGGACTGTGCTGAAAGTGGGCAGAAGGTCTCGAAGGCAGGCTTTGGCGTTAATCTATCCCTAATCTAATCCCAATTTGCAGGGTAATATAATTATCAAAGGAGACACAGTGGTCATACACAGGACAGGTGAAATATTCAGTGCAGTGTTTCCCAATCCGGTCCTCAGGTACCACACAGTCCACATTTTTGCTGCTTCTCAGCTCCTGGTAGCAAAAATGTGGACTGTCTGGCTGGGAGCTGGGAGGGAGCAAAAACATGGACCGACAGTCTCTGAGGACCGGATTGAGAAACACTGTCTTGGTGGCTCATCTTCTAAAGATTAAAAAAAAAATGAAAGTGACTATTGCAGCAGGATCTTAGTGAATACCTTTTATGTACCTTATATATTTTTTTTTAAATCGGCAGGACTGTATATTTTCAGCTACATCATCACAGTCATTTTCTGAGGTTTAAAAAGAATGGAGGGCAGACAAGACTCGTTCAATCCCTTTGGCAACCGAGAAATGGACGTCGCGGAGAAGCAGACGGACACTTTGTGCCCCGCAGGTGTGACAGCACCTGTCACCTGTCAAAGCAGCCGGCAGCGAAGGTGTGACGAGACCCCAGGTATCCGGCGCTGTAGGCCACGCCCAGGCAGTGACGCGCTTCTGCGGCGACGGCCACCTGCATCGACAGGGGACCCTGAAGAGGCACGGCCCGCAATCCTGATGCCAAGTTCGGGTACGGGTGGACGGCGCCCCCTGCTGACGTGCCGGAGAATAGGTCCGTCCGGTGGGACTGGAGGTAGTCCTGTGATAGCACAGGCCCCAAAGCCTGGGTGTCGGGTATCACGTGCAGCTGGGATACGGGCGCAGAGTGTTGGCTCAGGTGCGCGTAGCCCCCCGGGTGGAAGATCAGGTGCTGGGAGGAGGCGGATGCCTGCCTGTCCAGAGAGGCGGGCGAGGGGGGGGCGGGCTGGCCACGCGGCTGCAGGACGGCCGGGCTCGGGGCCGATTTGGATTTGTTAGCTTCCTTTACGTCACTGTCGTGAGCACTAGGGGGGCGGAGAAGCACAAGGCAGAGAAATTTCATTCGTGCGACTTCACTTAGTGGGAAAAACAGGAAAGGGGGAGGGAACTGAACTTCCAGCGCCCCCCCCCCTCCCCTCCCCCCCGTGAATACAAAAATCCACAGCTGCTCATGTCCTTATATAAAATGCCGTAGTATTTGCATATAACTTACGCACATCCTGCAGTGTACTTCAAATCATCTCTGGATTACTTATCCAAAACATCATAATTATATTATATAGTTTAGGGAGTAAGTCTTCAGTACAGATCAAAGTACTTATAGAAAATACAAATAGGAAAATTATAAATTCATTCTCTCTACCTTTTCATTCTCAGCTTTCTGGGATTTTATTTGTTCTCAAAATATTTTCGATCCGCGGCCGGTTGAACTGAAGTCCGACTGTATATATATGGGGGGGGAGGGGGGGGACTCACAGCAGCATGAGCTCGACACAGGGGGTCAGGTGCTCCCAGGTGTATCCGGTCAGCAGGTGCAGGGCGCTGGTCCAGCTGGGGAGGATCTGCAGGCAGACGCGTGAGGCCGCGATGCAGGACGCCGCCACCTGAGAGGGCCGGAAGCTCAGGAAGGCATGGTCTGGGGGGGGGGGGGGGGGGGGGGGGTGTCTGGGAAGCCCCTCACCATATGAGCAATGTGCTCAACCACAAATTAGCATTTCATACAGAAAAGAATGCTTATCAATAGAGGCGATGTGTGTGGGGGAGGGGGGGGGGGGGGGGGGGGGAGGCAGGTCAGACAGTGATTCCGGAAGCATCCAGGCAGATGGACGGCATCCTCCGAGGCCTCACCTTGCAGAGACACCTCCAGGAAGTAGTGGGCGTACTTGTCCATGAAGGCCAGCGTCTTGGAATGGGAGGAGAGCGGCCAGCCGTTGTGCAGGTCGCTCTCCTGCACGGAGGCGCGCAGGTAGTAGTCAATGAAGTGCGCGGGCGTGGGCAGGCACAGGTTCCAGCCGAAGGTCTCCAGCAGCAGCAGCTCCATGCGGATCAGGTCGCGCTTCCCGAGCACCAGGTTCAGGCTGCACATGAAGCCCAGCGCATTCAGATGCTCCAGCTTGGGCACACGGTCCTCCTTCTCCTCAAACTTACCTTGGAGGGGCAGGAGGGGGGGGGGCAGGGTATCATCATAGGGTCACTGACAACAGACACTCCCGTAAATCCACCCACCTTTAAACTCAACCACGCAAGTATACAAGTATGCAAAACAAGCGTAAAGCAAACTAATAAAATACTGCGGATTATAATCTTACTTGGTGTCAGAGGTTATATTAAGGGAGACACAAGAGGGGCCATGGTTCACACAGAGGGACCAGCCTTATCAGCCAATGATATGTTTTGAACCTGTGAGTGACACGGGAAGGAGCACTCCGCGGGCCAATCAGCCTTCAGCTGAGGCTGGTGCTTCTGTGGCTCCACCCCCTGCATACACCCTTGCTTTTTGTACAACACATTTCAGGATAAATTGATCGAATTCAGGTAAACATGCAAGCACCAGACAAAAGGGATTATAATGGGGGGGGTCGGAATCTCAAAATAAGAGGCAGTGGGGGGGGGGGGTGAACATAATACTCAGAGTTGAACTAGGGATTTACGAGTACAGAGAAACACAGGGTTTGCCCCTGTAAGCCCCACGCTTTATCAGGGTTGATCGGATACTAAAAGTCACTGATCGAGTAATGAGTACTGAGTACCAAGTTCTCAGCGATGAGTAATGATGAGTAAACTGAGGGTCAGCAAATGGAGGGGTGAAGATGGGCTGGGCCTGGAATTCCACCTCAGAGAAGAAGCTGGTCTATGGTGGCAACCTGGTATGTGGTTGGGGTGAACAAAAGGCATTCTGTTTAAGCAAGGGGTGGATGTGATAGGAATGCAAATGACGCACACAGCTCACGCTCGGGCACAGCCGGGAGACAACCATTCATCAAGGGGGGGGGGGGGGAGAATGCAGAAAGAACCACGAAGAAACTGAGTGCACGTGCACCCAAAAAGAACTTCTTACTTGTGACAAAGCTCAGTATTCTGTATTCATATAAAACAGTCCACCAAAGCCCTGCTGAGAGTCCTGCAACTTTCAAATAGGGCTCATATCACACCAAGCCTCATCATAACAGCTTCAGTGTCCAATTGTTCCAGAAGGTTCTTCAGCAGCTAAAAAAAAAATGGTCCAATGGGTCTACACTCGCAAAATCGGGCTGATTACATCGACACTTCAGCCAAAACAAACGTTTGCACAGACCACGGGTGGCCGGGATGGAGCCGGTCCCTCCTTAGCCGACCAATCCCCGTCGTGAAACCATCCCGAGCCCCGCCTACACTTGACGCCATGACGATAGGGGCACGACCTATCCGGCACAATCCATGTGACAACAGAAGATGGAGGACCATGTCATGCTGCTGTAACATTTACGCCTTTGGTCGTGTGACCATCTGCACCAGCACGCAGTAATGGGACTGAAGAGTGAGCAGAGAGAGAGAGAGAGAGAGTGAGCAGAGAGAGAGAGTGAGCAGAGAGAGAGAGAGAGTGAGCAGAGAGAGAGAGAGAGTGAGCAGAGAGAGAGAGTGAGAGAGAGAGAGAGAGAAGAAAGCTTACATGTGAAGACCACCGACTCCGGTTTCTGCATTACCAGTTTCTTGTGTTTATCCAAAGCGAACTTCATAGTGGGACACGTCACGCGAGTATTTACACGAAGCACTGCGACACTTATCTGATCACTCGCTTCAATATACACCAGTTAATCTAGAGTTTGAAAATAAAAGACTTATACCATGACTGATACTCCAGTTTAAAATGACTGATACCATGACTGATACTCCAGTTTAAAATGACTGATACCATGACTGATACTCCAGTTTAAAATGACTGATACCATGACTGATACTCCAGTTTATAATGACTGATACCATGACTGATACTCCAGTTCAGGTTACCCCTGGGCCTTACCCCCTCCTGTTAGCCTAGCATCCAATCTCGGAAGCTGCAGTAAATCTTTCCGCCGGACCTCCTAGTTGAACCACAATCAGGTCCCATCTGGCCTAGTCCCCTCATACCACGAGTCCTGTAATCTGGGGATTTCAGCCAAGCGTATAATCGTCTTACTCCTGTCAGCCTCTCCATCCCTGAACCTAAACCTAACCCTGAACCTAACCCTAACCCTAACCCATCTCAAACTCGGCCTGTTCCGCTCGTCTTTGCCACACTCGCCCCCCCCCGAATCGGTGCCATGACGGTAGGTGGGGGTTTTAACATTAGCCCTGGACACCGAAGGGGATTACAGCACCGCCTGTGGGGTGTGGGGGCCCTTCAGCTGGAGAGAGGGGCAGCATTCACCCCCCACCCCACCTCCCAAAACACAGGGAATTGTATCCCAGCAACTGATTCAGAGCAAAACGGGCAACATCAGACACACGGGGGGCTGCTTCAAAGCACAGTGATATTCTGTGTTATCATACATTTAAAGGCACTGAATTGTCTTCCTGAACAAAACTCGCATTTAAAAAAAATAAAGAAAGCAGAAAAAAAAAACAGAAGGCATCCCTGACCCCCCCCCCCATACAAACACAAAGCCAGTATAATTACATCTGATAAGATAATCCCTCCCCCAAAAAGTTTATCTCCACATACCCCCCTCCTTAACAGAAAACACATACAGGCAGATGAGGCGGTAATGTAAAGCCGATCTTCCCCTCGCCGGGTAAATCCACCAGAGACTGACACGGGGTGAAGCCATCGGACTGGTCCATTCAGGGGACACCGGGAGGGGGGGGGGGGGGGTGTCATTTAGAGCTAAAGGACTCCTCACAGTGAAACTCAAAAGCAGTCTTTCCAGAAACGACAGGAAAAGCCTGCCCCCTTACAGCTCGCCCTTCAAAACAGCCGGATACGAACGAAAACAAGCAAGCAAAAACAAGGACTATTCCTAGAGTCCCTGATAGTATATAGAGCAGCTCTGTACGGACACTAAAAAGCCCACTGTCCCTGGCGTGCCGCCCGCTCACGGGGCCGACTTCCTGTTTGTCTGCCCCACTTCCTGTGGCGATGCTATTCTCCACTCAGGACCTTCCGGTGGGTTTCCGGTGTGACACGGGCCCCCAAGCAGGGCCCGCATTTCCCTTCAGACAAGCTGGCCAGCAGAGCGACACCAGTAATTCCCGCTTTCTTCAGCGGGCGTGACAATCCGGTTAAAGCCACTTTCCAAGAAAATTTAACACGTCTAACTTTTTTTTTTTTTTTTCACGGGTGCCACATCAGCGGAGGCGGGGCCCCGGCGAGGCCCCTAGCTTCCTTTCATTTGTCTGCCTCCTTTTCACTGCGAGGTGTTAAATTGGTCACAGTAAAATCCCTCCCCAAGTCAGAGGCTTTCACAATGCACCCCCCCCCCTCCCCAGACATACGCCCCCCCCACACCCTCCCGCCCCCCCCCCCATTGACCTCTGACCTACAAAGGCTGGGAAAGATCCCTCATTACAGGAACACTCCAAACAGTCACCATGAAGCTCATGGCCGGTTTAAAGACGACTCCACTAAAGTCCAAATAAGAATTTACCTTCATTGCTAATCTGCATATCAGGCCACACCCCCAACAGCTCCAACACCGCCCTCTCTGCACCTTCCCATTTTATAAAAACTTTAAGACGTTTACATTTACATTTCATTTATACAGCAGATCCTTGTATCTAAAGTCATGCATATTTTTGTGTAGAAGTACACTCAGCCAGTCAATTGTGGGTCAAGGGTCTCGATCAGAGGCCCAGCTGTGAAATCACTCTGACAACTACGGGATTTGAACCGGCGACCTTCCGATCACAGACACCAACCCCATTTCCAGACATACCGACCAGCTGATACGACGCAGACATCGTAACAGCCCGAGGTGATGCTGGCACGTCTCGACGGGGGCGATTATCTGGAGCCCGGGACCTTATCCGGCGTTGTTAGGGCTACGCTGGCTGTCTGCACTCCACAGATGGCAGAACATTAAAACCGTAAAGCAGGAGTGGTCTGAAGTACGCGGTGAACTTGCCATCCCCAGGCGCTGGGAAACCTTCCCAGTGCAAGCCCAGATTCAATCCCTCACGCCAACGGCATTTCCTGGTCGTAAAACCAAGCCAGCACACTCCAGGTCGCGACCCCGTCACACGTCCGTTTGCCTTTCCGCGCGTGGGCAAGCTGCCACACTGAAGTTCGTCGCCGGACGCCAAACCCATAGCAGTTAGCGGAGCCGCGAGTGCGATAGAAGAAGCCAGCTGTTCCCAGTCCCTCCCCCCTCCTGGCTTTCAGCTCCGTATGCGGGGGCCTTTTGTTCAGGCTTGACTCCCAGAGCAGGATGCAGGCGCCCTGGAGCAAAGAGCCGGGCCCCACAAGGGACCGCCTCTCCCCAGACCCGTAGCGGACCCGCGGTGGCACCGACCCACAGCAGATGCACACCATGCACATCTTTTCACAGCGGATCAGTATTGAAATCAAGATGGGGGTGCAGGATGGGATTGGAGACACACTGGGCTGGGAGACACATAGTGGATATGACACCAAATCCCAGCTGCCAAACCCTGGGTAACAAGGCAAGGAACCAGAACCAGAACCACTCAGAAGCAGGTCCCAACAACCAGTGAGGGAACAGGCGTCAGAAATATAGCTGACAGAAAAGCCGACATTAAAAATATCAAGGAACATGAGCAAGGATCTAAAGAATCTGACATGACAATCAGCTGATTATCCCCCCCTCCCCCCCCCTGCAGGTCAGCAGGCGTCCCAATCTGTAGGCCTTATTAAAGGCAGAACCACAGAGAAACCGGACGGTAAAGCGACATGCAAGCAGGAGATTTGCTCACACTAGATAAGCTCTGCATCTCAGCAATTAAGGGCAAGTTCTGAAGTACTCAGACGTCAACATAATTACCTGGCTAGATAAATATTAGCAACGCAAATATATTTACATTAAGCTTAGATTACAGCCCATGTCTCTTCAACACTCCCCCTCACAAACATTGGTGTCAGTATTCACACACATACAGCTCTGGGAAGAATTAAAAGACCACTCAATATTTTTAAGAATCTGCATTTTTTAATCCTGGTTTAATCCTGGTCCTGCTGGCAGAGGCTACACTGAGCGGCAGGCTGATTCCAGGCTCAGAGTTTCTAAGACAGCAGTAAACAAGAACAAGGTGAAGCAGGAGACACTGGGAATGACCAGAAACCAGCCAGGTAGAGGGCGGAAACAACTTTCTAATGCAAGAGATGACTGTCAACTTATCTGGCAGTGCCTCAAATATCAGAGGATGACATCAAGTGACCTTCAGAAGGAACGGGAGACATTAAGTGCAGGTGTGAAGTGCACTGCTAGGTCAGTGTGTATCAGGCTCCTAGAAGCAGGACTGAAGTCCCATAAAGCAAGGAAGAAGCCCTTCATTAATGAGAAGCAGGGAAGAACCAGGCTGCAGTGGGGGGAAAAAATGTATATTTTACAAAGGTGCATACCCATAAATTGGGAAATAAGTAAAATAAGTGCCGTGGTTTCTTAATTTTCTAATATTACATACTAAAAACCAACCAATGCTCCAGATGACAAACACCAGAGCCGCTATCAGCGGACTAACAATCTGATGCTTCTCCCAGTTTTTAAACAAGCCAGCTTAATTTAAGGTACTTGTGCTTCAATGACAAAACAGCCCGAAAGTCCAGTAGCAGCTGATGCTGACATGCAGCTCACTACAGGCTGACGAAGAGCAGCGCCTGTATGTCACACGAATGCGTCCATGTCGCTTTCTCCCTTCAAAGACTTCGACGAGCCGGAGGTGCAGCACAGAAGGACATGGAGAGAGTCAGAAATAGGGAGTTCTAGCTTTTCTGGTCAATTAGCCGAGTTCTAGGCTTGCAGCTGCACACCCACAGTCATTTACATCACTGTGGTCTGGGCAGAGCCACACTTTTGAGTTTGCCTAAAGCCCCCCCTCCTCCTCCCCCTCCCTGCGATAATTAGCATGCGGGGGCTCTGGGAACAGGCTCTCGCCCCAGTTTGCATTTGTGATAAGACTCCTGAGCGGGCGGATAGGTCCGGGGGCAGGCCCCTTATATACACAGCTGTCAGGGTAGACAGCATGCGGGGGCTGGGCCGGGCAACTCTGCAGACGCGGGCATCACGCCAAGCCGATGGCAGAAAACGAACGCCAACAAGAGCTGGCCGGCTCCTGTCGATTGGGAAGATTTGTCCTGCATCACACAGGCGGGACTAGAGGCCGTACAGCCCAATCGGAAAGCTCGGTGGTGGGTCTCAACGTCGATTCAACGCAATCTCACAAATCGGCCAAAGCTCATATCGGTCGAAACGGCACCGACGGGGACCGACCGTGCTGCACACTCTGCCGTGACCGGCAGTCACCGGCTCTCACCAACAGCCCGACGACTACCGGCGGCCGAAAATCGGCTTGGCGGCCTTTGCAGGCCGTGTCAGGTCAGACCTGTCTATCCTCCCCCCGTATCTACAGCACGACAGCGACAGATCAAAATACAGCTGAGTGACACTGCAGAGTAGAGCACAGGGATTTACCCTCCCACCCAGACCTGATGGCCACTGGATTTCCCTCCAGCATCCATCCACTGCTTTCAGCAAACAGTCTTACACTCTGCACTGGAATCATTACTCTGAAACCAAAATCTACTGATTCACTGCACATTCCTGTTCATTTAATTCCATTGACTATTTCAACAACTGTGTTTTTAAACTGTATTTTTATGTCATGCAAGAGTGTTGGTTTGGTGCAGACCAAATCAGCTCCGAACCCGACACCCTCCTAAACGTACACAGCACCCCCACAATATTGGTAGGAACATGTCCCATATCTTCCATCTTTATGTGTTATTGATTTGCTTGCTTGTTTGTTTGGCAGACTCTTCTACCAGAAGCAATATACATATTTTGATGGTTATTTGATGCCATGAGCAACTGAGGGATAAGCGAAATCACACTGCTGAGCCTGGGATCTGAAGCCGGAACGATATTTCGCCTGGGTGTTTTCCTCAGGCGTCACCTGAAGATGACTTACTGGCCAGCAGGAGGCAGGAGAGAGCGATAACGTATAGCTGCTTGATGGCCACTTCGTAGTGGTCCATGAAGAGGTCCAGCAGGTAGACGGCCAGGTGCCGGGCGGTCGGACACAGCTGGTAGCGATTACTGAGGATGGCCAGCAGGTCGGCGAAGTAGCGCCTCAGGCCGATCTGGGGCGACTGGGCTCGGTATAGAGGCAGCTTCAGCTCCTGAAAGACGGCGGGGCAAGGAGGGAGACGAGGTGAGCCCAAAAACAGGAGTACATGAATACAGCGCATTTAAAATAAATAAATAACAGTCTTAGTACATTTTTCATAAAAGCAGGTTCATTTGTTACTAAAAGCCGGTTTGGCGTTACTATGCTGACCTAATAGCAGAGAGTCAAAATATGGAGTGCCTTTTCAGACCATCCGCAAAACACTTCCTGCAGTAACAAATTAACTTCTTATCAACACAAAAGCCCCGTGCGCCCCCCTTTTGTGATGGGGGGGGGGCTGTTGGCTCGCACCAGCAACACGTGTCTGTCTCTTTTCTTTTAATTAAATTTGCTCACTGTAACAAGCTTCGTTTCAAAGCCTCAGTCACCATCATTAAGTCTGACCAAGAGGGCAATCAGTCACATAACAGCTGAAGAGGAAATCTGGCAAACTTAAATCTCCCTCTTAAAATCTTTTCCTATTTTTGCATACCGTTTTTTTTTTTAAGTTTTATTTATCCCATACACAAAGCGTACAGAGCTCTGTGGTGAAATGCTTTCCCTGGATCGTGCGCTAAATTGAAGAACTAATACGAAAAGATCGTTAAAAATATTGAGAGAAATAAAAGTTAACCACTTTGCATGTGACGTATGAAAGGCGGACCGTCTCCCTGCGAGCCGCCATCTGCCGGCTTCGGGGGTCCGCAAAGACGCGCCCCCCATTAAAGCACCGAGGCAGCGGGACGTTGCTGACCTTTCCTAGGGGACACAGCTGCTCCTGCCGCCCACCCCCCACCGCTCGATTATTCATACGGACAGCTAATAATGCCGACGGCCCCGGAAACAAGCCGGCGGCTCCCCCCAAAGAACCCGACACCGCTCAACAAGCAGGGGCCGGTAAACCTCCATACATCAACACATCCGTGATCCGGCAAATATAAAGCAAGAGTACTAGTCTGGATTTGCAACTATATTCAATTCAGTTTCAATATTTTTGTATGCTTTAACGTGCAATATTTTATTTCGATGCATCAAAAGAATTAAACATTTAGTCTCTATAATAGTACACTTTGTTCTTGAAATAGACTGGTTTAAGACACTGAAGTCATCTGGTCGACAGCTGATTTGTAAGAAGTTACGTACATGCATACTTTATTAAAATGCTACATACTCCATGTGACACTATCATACTTTAAAAAATTACGTTTGCTCAAAAAAAAGCAACGGCGTCTTATAATACACAGTACTTTCGCCCACAATACACGAAAAAGTGTAAATTACAGGGCAGATAAGTTATTACCCATGTCGACAAAGTGGGATATTGACAAGATAGGTGAAGGCATTAAAAACCGAAATGTGCAGCGGCATTTAGGAGCAAAACCGTCTCCACATAACGAAAAATGCCCTGTCTGCAATTAGCGACAGCAGTACAAGGGAGTAACATTACATTTTCACTATAAAATACCGAGTCTGTTAATGACAACCGTGACCAATAAATCAATATTTTATTGAAGGAGCTCATCCATCGTGCACCACTTCAATCAGCAGTCGTTAAATGGCGAATTAGCATCAAATACACACAGCTGCACACGATGCACGATTATACTCTTCGGGAATAGTGATCATGAAAGTGTAACCAGGTTTCATGCATGACCCTGCGCTGACTGCCCAGCGGTTAGCGGACGGGCAGCTATATTAGTCGCAACCACACTCAAATGATCAGTCAAAATTCTTTTTAAAAACAAGCCAGCCTTATACACACGGGCAGAAGCTCATCTGAGCCAATAGCCGCCTTACCTTGATGCGCAGAGATTGATGTATGTCTGCGGCGAGCTGGTCTTTCCACCACTGCCCGTCAACTTCCATTTTCCCATCCAGGAGTTCGGAGATGAAGCTACAACCCCGTTTCCAAAAGTAACATTTTTAAAAAGTGAATGTCCAAACGACAGGGCTTTACCTTCTGGATGTACTTATTTATTACAATGAGTGATTTTTTAAATTATTATTATTGACAAATGCACCGAGTCGCTCGACCACGCTACTAACAAAGTTACTACCGCCGGCACGAGCCGGGTCGAAAAGCTAACTAATCTCCCATAAAAATGCGACCTCGATTTATGCCAAGCATTCAACGTCGTGCTTATTTTTAAACTCAAACCTTTTTAAAAGTCGGAACAATTCCAATACACGTGACAATGGCATGGAATCATTGTAAAATACGGTCATCTTTAAATAACATTGCTCATCTTTAAATAACATTGCGGGTTTGCTCGCTTAAAAAACCCCAGCTACCGAGCTATTACCTCCTCTGTTATTCTTTAGATCTGCACAGCGTGATCACATAGGCTACGAACAATTGTCTAACCTTTTCACTGCGAAACATCTTTCAAGCCGTATATTATTTTACTCCAGCTCAATTACAAGTGACTTTTGGGACGGTGCTGGCTGGCGATCAGCGGCTTTCATTCACTTTTATTTCCTTACCAGTCAAACAGCGGTGTGCCTTTCCCCTTTGTTTCAGAACAACATCCTGAAATTATAAATCCATCCTCGATAGTTTCCTCACTCAAGTAAAACTGCGAAGGACGATCCGCTCCCCTCCACGAGGGAAGAAAAAAACTCACGCGAAAAAAGTTAAACCATATATTAACTGTAAAGAATTAGCGTCTTTATTGTTTAACGTGCACGGTGCTTTAACCCTTGGCCATACCCCCACCGCCAGAGACGCGTTTCTCCTATGCGATGAAAGCACTATGTGCAACGCCTGCAGCAGCGAAGACCGCAAGCGCTGCGCTCACGCTCAATCCCAAGGGGCTTGAACACGGGGCGCGTGGAAAGGGGGGGGTCTCGCCTCTGGGATTTGTAGTTCTCGCGCCGCAGACCGCAGACGGTGGAGAAATGATCGTGATCACTGATTATGTCATCAGTACAAAACATTACATTATAAAACAATCATCCTCTGGACTGCAGTGATCAAGGAGAGAGTGATAAAAGATGGCAGTGATTCCCGTGAATCCATGGGTCGACGTATTTCCTACATATTAAAATTAATTATTCGATGTCAATTTTTTAGTACGTCAGTTTTCTTTTATGGCTTAATTGCTGGTCGTCTCCTTAGAAAATTATTTAATTATGCAATGTGCTGAGAATTGCTATCAAAATCATTCTGTGTGTCGCTCTTTGTAGCGCCACCTGCTGTTAGCAGACGCAGTACTACAGTCTGCGGCCCCGGCTGCTTAATCCGGTCAGGAGGGACCCTTGGGATATGGCGCGAGTCTGTCGCAGGGCATTTGCACGCGGTCATACATTATGTGCAGTTTAGAGATGTCTCTGGACCGCGGGAGGAAATCCGCGTGAAGCGAGGAGAACATGCAACAGACTTTATTTAAGTTCTTTTGCGTCATCTGTAGCTATCGACGCCTAACAACGACAGACTAACAGTCGCCATAAAGCCGAACCATAAAGTCGCCTCTGAGCCATTATGAGGTACTTAACATAACCACCCTCAACACCAGTGGCGGTTCTACATCATTTCAGCTGGGGGGGGGCAGACTGGAGCCAGTTGTTCTGTTAGGGGAGGCAGCTGCATTTGACCTTAATGTCGTCCAGCATTAAGAAACAAAAGACAAATTTGAAAACCGATGATATTTATGCAATTCTTTGCAGTTATATTTTGCAATTTTTACTAATATGTAACTCTGATTTCTTGTTTAGACTGTGTTGCTTCCACAAGCTGTATTTTTTCTAATAAAATATCTAATGTATCTAACAATAATAACAATAATACATTCATTTCGGACCCTGGTAGCATGCGTATTTGGCAGGGGGCACGGGGGGGGGGCATGCATGTTGTCACCCCCCAGAACCACCCCTGCTCAGCACTCCTACTTCCACCCCAACTCTGAAGGTGTGAGGTAATAACTGCGCTTCCCACGTTACCCACACTGGAAAAAATAAAACTAAGCTGTTGTTCGTTCAGTGTGTTTTTTTCTCATTGCAATAGTAAAAAAAAATATTTGTTTGTTGATTTAGGCAACTACCTCATTTTTGCTTATGGTTGAATTTTTTTTTTTTACAGATTAAACTGAATAAATCAGGCCTATTTACATTCAAATAACTATTTCGTGTAATAGATTACTTAAAATGTTTTAGGTTGATTCAACATTTTAATTTTTTCAGTCACCTTAGCCACTAAAGTACCTTGTTACCGGTTGGTTTCCCACTTTTCCATTAAGGCAAAGAGGAATTCCACTTGGTCATTTCCAACGCATTGCGTATTTTCATAATACGCGCCAAATAAGACAGCTTTAACTTACTGATTTGTGCTTCAAGTAAAAGTTAAGGCTTTCTTTGATCAGGTCTGAGTTACCAAGCTGCCGACAGATAAAGCGGAAAATAGGTGTAGGCTACCTAATGAACATACCAACCATACTGCGATTACGGTGGCCTTTGGCACGGAGTTCTCAAGACGCTAAAACACAATGTACCAGTCTCGTTTTTCTACCAGAACAGTTTTATTCATGTTGAAAATGCGATTTGAATAGATTAGATTAGACTTTATTAATCCCACAATGGGGAAATTCTTTGAGAAACAGCAGCAATAATGAAAAAAGACAGTACAAAAAAGGACGGGATCCATAGGATCAGCAAAAAAATAACAATACAGATAATAAAAACAATAGAAAACAATTTCTAAAACTGTATAAATATATAAGTAAAAATGTAAGAAAAAAAGAAACATATACACAATGCTAGGTATATGGATAGCAGCTGCTGAAATATATATTAAGTTCGGTAAAATTAAATGATATTGCAAAGTTATATTTTAAAATGTGGCTTGTATTAGTCATACTATGCATTGGTTGGACTCTCTCGTGTTGCAAACCCTGGGAGAAATGCCCTGAGTCGCCAATGGGGACAAGTAACGCGTGCGTTTTGTCCTCTGTGAACGACGAGGTCGGAGGCTGTTCGTTAAATTCACATTCTGTCCACTAGGTCGCGCACATGTTCTACAGTTTTCGACAGATTAGACATTCTTATGCAAAACCAATATCCATCCGTCTGCCAAGTGCTTATCCAGTGTAGGGTTACAGAGAACCTGGAGCTTGTCCCAGTCAGAATAGGGGACATAAGGGAGGGGATTCCCCCTGTGCCAGGACGCCAGTGCGCCACAAGGCACATACATAAAACTCTACGGGCAATTTAGATCAGGAGGGAACTTACCCATTAGGGCAGGGCTATTCAACTCACGGTCCTCAAGGGCCGAGCCCTGCTGGTTTTCCAGCCTTCCTTCACCTGGGAGCCGGGTGTGAAGCCTCTGACCAATCAGAATCAGTAATTATTAAACTGAGAACTGAAAACACGGCCTGGATTTGGAATCGAGGGCCTGAGTTGAATAGCCCTGCATTAGGGAACGAGCATGAAGTCAAGAACTTTTATTGACTCTGTATAGAGTAACGACATAGCATAGTACAATACCAATAAATAATGTAGGAGATAAAATACATTTTTTTAGAAAAAAGAACAGAATATATCCATCCATCCATCCAGTAATATCTGAGTCATCTGAGTAATCAAGTAAACAATACAGTGGCATATTCCACACCATAGTGTTTATACAGAAATCTTAAGAAAGTTTATTGCCATGATCGGTACGTTTGCGGCATATTTTTTTCCTCCCAGAAATACTTCACTGAAGCGCAAATCCATGTTGCAATGACAGTCTTGTACTGAGTTTCATCATGAAGGCGCACTGAATATTCTATGAATGCATTATGAAGGCGCACTGAATGTTCTATGAATGCATTATGAAGGCGCACTGAATGTTCTATGAATGCATTATGAAGGCGCACTGAATGTTCTATGAATGCATTATGAAGGCACGCTGAATGTTTAATGAATGCATAATGAATGCATTATGAAGGTGCAGTTAATGTAAAGCGTTACCAAAAATCAGCTACCATATAAACAAAGAAAAAAAAAGAGAAAGCAAACCCAATTAGGTGGCCCCCACCCAGCCTGACACCACTGTAATTGCAGCAGCTATCGAAGGTCCCAGTGTTCTGTTGGCCTTCTCTTATCGCCCGGATGCTCTCTTCCAAAGCCTTCGGTGTTCTGTTGAGGTTATATATATATATAGCAGACCCCACACAGCTGGATCTGCACCTGCCACTGGCTGTAGCTCACATCGCTTCGTCCTCCACAGCTCGGGTCCGGGCAACAAGTTCAGCGCCGTATCACGGCCGAGGAACAGGAAATCTAATACTGATTTAATCCGTCCCCTTTCCCTGGCGCCCAGGGGCATCCTGCTATTCCTCTCCTGACATCTGTTTTTCACGAGGTCCCGTAAGGAATGCTGCCGTAATGGTGCTTTGAAGTTGCCTAGGTAGGGCTTCAGCAACAGGTCACTGGAGTTTAAATGTGATGTTCGCAGGATTAGAGCAAAAGAGGTCACTAATTCCTCCGTTTGATGAATTAAAAGTAGCTAGATTAGCCGCGAAGTCTGTAGTGTCGAGTTGCACTTGGTTTCCCCCGAATCATCACGTTCCGTGACTCATCTGGATTTGTCAATAGGAGCAGCTCCTAACTGCTCCATCTTCTCAGCAAACCCTCAAGGTGCGGGGAGGGCAGCCTGCGGAGATACTGGCACTTTGATGTAATCCCTTCAGTTCCGTCGCTTGCTCACATTTCTGTGCAATAGAATGCAAATGGTTCATGGTATTTTGACATTTGCTATTTGGCTAATGAACTGGTGGCAGGCAGGGCTTGCTTGCAAACACACCCTTCACCCATGCTCCACTTTCCGTCAACAAATGAACCCACAACCTATGGTGCCGGTTTACATTTTAATCTCTATTTACTCTATAAATTTCCCGTCTTAAGCGTAGTGGAAAGGATCTCAGTGACCCTTCAACTCAACAACATACTGATGGCCCTTACGCTTGTTGGAAGCTTGCAGAAGCAATGGAAAGTATCTGCATTTTGCGAGGAAAGCCCCCTCGCCGACTCCGATGACTGCCGGTGCGTGTGACAGCTGGGGAATGTAGGAGAGAGAGAGGCAAGATCAGGGGTGGGGGGCTGTCGAGGGCAGAAAAAAAGCACCCTGAGCTGTCACTCGATGCCACGAATAGAATATCCCCCGCTAGCGGTAGCGGGGCTTTCGCAGTCGGAGAGCCGAAGCCCAGGAATGCCAGCTGGTTGCTATTCAGGACGTTTCCCCGCAACACCGGGAGCGACACCAACAACAGGAGGTGTTCGAAACACGGAACCTGCAGCGCGATAACCGGCCAGGTGCCAGCAAGAAAAAAAAAAAAGAGAAAAGACCAGCAGAACCTGCAGTGAATTCACGTGCAGAAGAATACCAAGATCTTAAGCATGGACAGCATTTTGAATGAGGCAGACACTGGCTGCCATTGGCTCGTTGATCCTGCCTTTGAGAGTCACCCTAGCCCACCGGTAGAGTACCTTGGCATGCACCACTACAGCTCCATGTCCTCCGACAGGATCTCCAAGCTGACCACCAAGACCAGCTCCAGCGAATGGTCCGACTGCTTCAACTTCGCACACATGGACGAAGAGCTCGTGCAAAGGCTGGCTGAGGATGGGGACGGCGTTTTCGAGGCAGGCCAATTCGTTTGCGTGGACGTGGCTCTGGACAACTGCAAGGTACCGAACAGTGAATTAAAGACGGTGCCCAAAAGGCAGATCCAGCTAAAGAGATGTGGCTCCAGGGAACCACTGACCAATGCGGCCACTGATTTTGCTGCCTCACTCGAGATCAAACAGCTGGACACTTGTTTGCGGCAACACAGCTTCCCGGCTACCGTCTGGGAAGCACCGTGCGAGGCAGAGCCACTGGCGGTCCCGGAGAGAAAGCTGAAGCTTCAGAAGTCTCTCTCCCTGGATGAAACCTCCAGCAAAACTGTGATGGCTTCCTCTCTCATCCAGAGTGTTCTGTTCAAGAAGATGCAACATGAAAGTGCCCTCCAACATTTGCAAGCCCAGGAAGGAAGCATCTGCCCTTCTAAGGTAAAGAACTATCACACCAAGAGTTCTAACTCCAAAGTCACTAACCCGAACCTGGGCTCCAGTCTACCTTCGAGCAGCAGCATGTATTTGGACTTGGACAAACCTGGGAGAGACCCTCAGACTGACTCAGTAAGATTGCATGACGGCACTGGTTGCAGCGCCAGCCAACTAAAGCTCCGGACAAAACCTGCGGCGGAGAAAACAGAGGAACTTGATTCCAGCGAAGATAAAAAGGAGCTGGGAAATGCGGAAGCTAGACCCTGCGGTGATGCAGCAAAAGCTACGGCGTCCACTGAAGCTCCAGGCACAGCAATAGGAATGACAAACAAAGCCGGGGAATGTCCGGCAGGGCCGGGAAGTCACAAACAAAGAATTACCGGGGACAGTTTTGTGACAAAAATGCCAAAAATAACCTACAAAGTCAGCGCCAGGGGAAATAAAAGTAGTCTCTCAAAAGAGTGTTTGCTATCGGGACAAGATTCTCAAAGGCAAGTGAATCAAGTACCACTCTCCACGGAGGGCACCCAAGCAAAAGGACGAAGGGCAGATCATTTGGTAGAACAGCTAGCTAAAAAGGAAGCAAACGAGAAGAACCAAACGAAGCCCCTCACACACAAAGTGAGGGATTTAAGAAAACTGGTGAAGAGCTCCTACAATCTGCCCTTCAGTGGGTCGGCGGAGCGTGATCCGCACAAGCCGACACTTTCTACTCAGCTGCCGGATGTTCTGCACAGCACATGCAAGATTCCTGCCAACAAAAAAGGAGTGTTTACATTACCGGGGGAGGCTGGGCTTAACAGTGGTGGAAACTCAGTGCCTTTGTTCTTGAAGAAGGGCTACCGGGAAAACCGGATGTCCCAAGTCCCCACAATGACCCCAACCTCTCCTCAAATTGTTCTACCTCCTCCTGCTGCTCCACCCCCGCAGCCTCAGCAGAGGCCAGCTACTGTGCTACCTTGGAACCACCACACCCTCCCTCCCCAGTCCAGACAACCCGAGGTCCCGGATCTTCTCCAGCCGCGGCAGCACTCACTTCATTCTTGGGACGGTGGCCGGCCGGCACCCGAAGAGCCAATGAAACTGCAGCCTGGTGCATTACGTCCGGGCCCTGGAGCTACAAGCGCCGCCAGCCCCTCGTCGCTGCCCCAGCACCTGTCCGGGCCGCCCAGCAGAGATGGTTCCAGAACCGGCAGCACCACCTTAGAACAGAACCCTGCCCATATGCTGCAGCAGCCCAATACTGGGAGCTACATCTACGTCAACATGCCAGCAACACCTCTGTGCAAGATGCTATTCGATCCTGAGACAGGACACTATGTGCAGGTGCAGATCCCCCAGCAGGGGGCAGCCTACACAGGGCTCTACTCACCCTGCATGGCCACCTACCCATTCTTCAGTTACCAGAGCCTGTACACCCCATATTTCCTCCCTTGTATCACCAGCTACCTGAGTGCCCCGATTCTGACACCTCATCAGCCTTAGACTCTAAGGCTTGAGGCAGTTCACGTAAACTGAGACTATAACGGTGTCTAGCACAGGACAACAAAAGAAAATGTTACATTTTTTGTTTTTGTCTACCTAGACTGACCTGTACATGGGTCAACCTATTGTTAAAACAAAAGAATATATTGTGTTGCGTGAATTACTTGAAATACTGACATTTGAATAAGCTGTTTTCACTATATGAGCACATATATGTGTGTGTGACGTTTTGATATTCAGACAAAATACGATACATACAGAGATCAGCGAAACTTCTTTTAACACAAAGACGTGGCTTTAGAATTTCTCAAAGTTGTTTATTCTTAAATATCTACGTTTGTATGTTGAGTGGCTACAAAACTATCACTCGAATTGTTTCATGAATGTTTTGATGAGGTTCAGCATTTTCAGGACTTCGTTAATAATAATTCACAATTCCTGTAAGTTTAAACAAAACATAATTACCAACCTTGAGACCCATTTTTGAAAGCAACTTTTATTTAACTAATTTGTGTGTAAAAACAGCATAGTTGTTCACATAATCCTCAGCGTAATTTCTCTGAATATGTAAGAGATATAGAAAACAAATCTAAAAAACATTTTTATAAATATGTACACCTCATTCATGACAATTGCTAATAACAATGCTGTTTGCTGTCAATTGTGAACCTTGTGAATTTTATGTAAATAGAAACTACACTTTATGCAACCTGTTCTTGGGTCTGTATCTGTATATATGGGCTACAACATGGGCTACACACAGACCTACACATAACCTAGGAAGTCAGATCCTCGTGTCTCCAGCACAGTTAGGTACCAGGAAGCACTTAGACGAGATATAAACGATGACATTAAGAACAGGATCCATTATCACAAGCCTGCAATATGGTGGCATAAAATATATAACATCATATTTCTATTATCAAGTAGAACTGATTTGAATGATCTTACTATTCATAAGAAGAGAACAGAATCATTAAATAACAATGATAATAATGAAATACCTGCCGTACAAAATGCAGATGCCAAACATGCAGCCAAAATAATAATAATAATAATAATAATGTTTACAAAATGAGCTGCTATACTTTGGTACAAGAAATGGTGAGCCGTGGATGGACTGGGGGGCCCTCGCCGTTTTGCGGGGCCCTGTCCTCCTCGCTCGCCTGCTCGCTGATCTTCCTGAGGCGCCGACGGAAGCCCTGGAAGGTGGGGCTGATGGGAAGGTAGCGCAAGAATGATGTCCGCCGCACACAGTCCATGCCGACGGGGAAGTCGTAGGTGGACAGGGACACGGTGGCCTGGCTGGACGGACGATCGTCTGCCGTCCAGTCCAGCAGGCCTCTCTCCTCCCGGGTGCCTATCGGAGCAGAGAACACAACAAACACACACACACATACACAGATTAGCCATCTATATCTTTGTGGGGACTCTCCATTCAGTTCCATGCATAACCCTAATCCCAACATGACGACCTTAACCCCTTACCCTTACCATAAGTAACCAAATGAAATACAAGATTTTTTGACATTTTTAGTTTCTTTATTTCAGTCACTGAGCGGAGACTAAAAAAAAATGTCCCCCCCAAAGGTGAAAATAACAGGTTTTAATGTAGTATATACCAGCCCATACACAACACACAGACACACACACAAATACACACAAACAAATACGCACACAAGCAAACAAACACACACACACAGAGTTACGGTCAAAGCTGCCAGAACCTTTTTCTGTTTAATGTCTGAGTGATTCTCTCAAAACAAAACTGAGGATTTATTGTCTAGGCAGACGGTCCTCATCGCTCTAAAAATAAAATGGAGCTTTTTTTTAACCCCTGAGTGTGTGTCAGCGTGAATGAATGTCTATCTGGATCTGGGTGAGCTGGAGTGCTCTCACCTGGTACAGTGTTGTCCAGCACAAAGGCCAGGAATCCTCCCACGAACATTTCAGTAGTCAGGAGCACGGTGATGATCTGGTCCAGCTCAGGCACTCCTGAGGATTCACCAGAACGTGTCAGACATAAATTCTTACGAAATCGAGTCAAGTCAAATTCATTTATATGACATTTAAACATAATGACAGCTGAACAAAGTGCTGTACATTTTAACAGACCCAGCAACTATTTAATAAAATAAACAGGTTGTAAGACACAATTTTGAAGTAATCACGCATAATTAAGCAAAAAATAAAAAGCATTAAAATAAGTTAAGCGACGATAAAAACTATCAACAATGATAAAAATCTGAAACAAATAAGACAAAATAACAAAAAGGAAGAAAAAAAATGTCCAGTACTTCGAAATAATCGTATCCGAAAAGCGATTCAAAAATCACGTCTCCTCTCTAAAACCAGTAAGTGCCTAAAACCAGTAAGTGCCTGAAACCAGTAAGTGCCTGGCTTACCCACCTGTACGGATGCTGCCGGGGTTCGTGTCCAAGTAATTGGGCAGCATGAGCCCGAAGAACATAGAGAATCCCAGAACAAAGAGATTCCTAGAGGAGTTCAGGTCCACGCTCTGCAGGTTAGACAACCCAACTGCTGTGATCATTCCTATAGGGGGCGCAAGAGAATCAATCGACAAAAGACAGCCCAACGGTGAACTGTCAAGCCATACAGCTGAAATTTTTTGTTTTGACTGACCGATAGCCCTTTAACCACGCTTTAAAAAAAGCTAAATTTGATAATGATAAATGTCACCCGAAAAACATTTGGCACACTGGCTCTGACAGCGACACTGGTTGTGGGTTCAAATCCCCGAGCTCTGTATGGAGTCTCCAAGCCCCCCCTGTCTGGTCCTGGTCTGTAAATACCCATACTGTGTGTGCATGTGTGCCCTGCGGTGCACCAGTCTCCCATCCAGGGCCTTTCCTGCAACATGCCTTGTTTTTCCTAGGTCTATATGCTACCTGGAGCCCTGTGCTGAATAAGCACTTTGAATCCATGCATTCATCTTCCTAGTAATTATATTAGCACATGAGCCAATTTAATCTGCAATCCTGTGTGTGGTCATCCTGTGGTGAGGACAAGCATCTCAGGGCACCTAAAATTAATTGGTTGTTACTGATTCACAGTCCAAGTTTCAAATAAAGGTAATAAAACAGCAGTGAAACTAAACTGGATTTCAAATGAAAATCGAAAATAATATCAAGATAAAAAGTAATTTAAGGAATCAAACCTACAACACTGCCGCCGGAGGCACTCTTACCAAACAAGGTGCAGAACATGCCCCCGAGGATGGGGTCGGGCAGGGCGGCGAACAGGGCTGTGAACTTCCCTACGGTGCCCAGCACCAGCATGATGACGGCTCCGTACTGCACCACCCTCCTGCTGCCCACCTGCATGGGGAAACGGGCCGGTGACCCAATCAGAGAGGGTCCAGAGACCCGCTTCAGCAAGGCCTGGGGCAACACATGTATTAGTCAAAGGTGGCAATTTCAGGTCCAGAAAGTAAAAATCCAGACCATGATTTACTTTCAACCACCCAGCTGACTACTCTGTGACTGTGACTCTTTATACTCAACTGGTTGGTTGAAAGTAAATCATGGTCTGGATTTATACTTTCTGGACCTGAAATTGCCACCTCTGGTATTAGTAAATGAATACTGCAGAGGTGTAGGAGCTACAAGGACGAAGAGGGAGAGGTCGCAGGGAAACGCTTCACTGTTAATCATCTCCTGTGGCCACTGGGATTCCAGCACTGTACAGTTGTTGCTTTATATTCTAAATCGAGTAAATCCCAGAATGCTGGAATTCAGTAACCAGGCCATGAGAAGAGAGGGCTGAAAAATAGCTAATTTTTGAAGAGATAGCAGAAAATGCATCCCTTGGTGATTCTAGGGTTTATTTTAAGGTGGGGGGGGGCATAAGGAGGTCCATAATTCGTACAGTGGGGCCAACCAATCATGTGTTTTGAATTGATGAGTAACAGGTGAGGGGGGCAATCAGCTTTCAGCTGGGGCCAACGCCTCTGTGGCTAGGACAGGGTACGAAAACCCAGTGCCAATATGGCACCAGTTTCTATACAACCAGCATGTACTGAACCATGTAAATGCCTGAGCTGTACATTGAAATATTTGCCCTCTGGTACTCGGGCAACAGAAGCATAACTGCACCTCACGTGTCATCATTAGTTAACGTTACACTTAAATACGGCTAAAATGCCTAAATCTAAACCAACTGAAGTGTAGCTACATTCACTTAACAAGATTCCGACCCTAGGACGTGCAACAGATGTTTAAAAACAATTGACATATGACAGAAATTTTTAAAAAGCCATCCTTTAATGTTGTGCACCTTAGTTTTCTGCTTTATTTTTTTTTTTTAAGTACCAATTCAAGCAATGTTCAGGCACCAACACAATTTTAAAAGTATTATTTTAGCATAATTGGAAGAAGCCCAAACAATACCCAACCCCAGCTGTTGCACCGCCCCTGTATACGTCCCTGTTGGTTACTGGTCACTGGTGTTACCTTGGTGATGTCATTGGCGTTACCTTAGTGATGTCACTGGTGTTACCTTGGTGATGTCATTGGCGTTACCTTAGTGATGNGTCACTGGTGTTACCTTGGTGATGTCATTGGCGTTACCTTAGTGATGTCACTGGTGTTACCTTGGTGATGTCATTGGCGTTACCTTAGTGATGCCCAGCACCCCAATGTTGGGGCTGGATGAGGTGGAGCCGTTCCCGGTGCCCAGCAGCCCTGCGATGATGCAGCACACCCCCTCTGTGAAGATGCCCCTGCAAGTACACCGAGGCAGTGAACCCCCACGGGACTCCGCAAGTGACCCCCGTGACCTCATGGCCTTAAGCCGAGTGTAGCCCCGGACCTGTTGATGGCGTGGACCGGGGGCGGTGGTGCCCCCGCCAGACGGGCACAGGCGTAGTAATCACCGATGGACTCCACAATGCCTGCCAGAGTAGCGCTGAACATGCCCAGCACACTGGCGATGGTCACTGTCGGCAACCCCCACTGACCTGGCCAAGACGTCGACAGATGAGGGAGCGCAATATGAAGAGCAGATGAGATGCAGCTACACCGTGCTGCTCCCTAGCCAAAAGTGTACCTGCAACACCTTGCACTGGGCCCTTGAGCAAGGCCTTTGACCCCCCCAAAATGCTCCAGGGGTGTCGGGTAAATGACTGAGACTCAGACCCCAAGCTTCGCTCTCAACTGTGTGTGTGTGTGTGTGTGTGTGTCTCAAAGCAGATCAGATGGGATATGTGAAACCTAAAGAATTTCAATGTTCCTGTACTCGTACAAATGGCAAATAAAGCATCGTTTAATTCCACTGCATTGCAGTCCTACGCATGTGTGATCAGATGCATGTTTGCATGTTCCAATGCCGTTTAAGCTCCGCTTTGCATGCGGAATGTAAATGTTATGTTTGCATTACTTTGACACAGGAGACGAATTCCTTGCAAAGTTTCGTTCTGGTTCTAAAATTAAACCCTGTAAATTGACATCGAATGAAACCCTATCTGGACATTTTTGCCGCCCATATGTCTGACCTACATAGCTGCGGCACAGTGGATGGGGGCGCGGCCCAGCGGTCTTACATGGGTATGGCATGCGGAACCAAGGTGCCCAGGACATGATATCCCCGCGGGCGTCCGTGCGCGCCTTGTGACCGTACTGACTGGGGTCCTGGGGAAGCACATCCGTCAGGGTCAGGATGTAGCAAAGCAGCCAGACCAGCATAATGGCCATGATGATCTACAGAGGACATGGAGAAAGGCACAATTACGACTCACGACAGTCATGACTACCTGCCATTCCACCTTCCGCCCATCAGAACTAGAGTCCTGAACGGGCCTGAAATTAAAGCCCGAGTCTGGCCCATTCCCAAGGCCTTGAGACCGAACCCAACCTGGCCCGGGCAGTACTGGCAAATCTAAAACCCACCTGAACCTGAAATTGTGTAAATACTGGTCATACAGGTTTACGGAGACATTTGCGAGCTTTCGCTGTATTTCATCCATTACTAGTTTGGATGCTTGCTAGGTAGCTGGTAGAAAGGGGGGGGGT